TGTGTGTGTGTGTGTGTGTGTGTGTGTGTGTGTGTGTGTGTGTGTGTGTGTCTGTCTGTCTTGCAGTTTGCGGAAACGTGTGTCGGGGACGTTAAGTTTGTCCCCCTTCTTGCAATTTCGAGTACGCAGCGACAGATCACAGCAGGTTTGTCCGCTGTTGTGGACGAGTGCGAATATAGAATATCGATTCCACTTTCTGCCCCCACCCCCTCACCTCCTTTGCCCCCTCCTCTGATACCCTGACTCTTTCTGCAGCCTTTTTACTGCTACTCCTTTGCTCCTTCTTACTGCTGTCTTTCAGCCAAACCCATATCCTCTGGTAGGAAAGATCTACATCTTGCCTTCTCGGACAAAGGCGAAAAATCTCGGAGGTCCCGTGTGCAGGTTGCCCACGTTAAAGATCCCTTGGTGATCTAAAATCGATAAGAGTAGGCTTCAGCCGCCACCCGGGCAAAATTCAAAATTTCCTACCAACTGAAAATGTGTAATGTGTCCCACGCGCTCACATGACGTTATGCAGTTGCGAGAGCCATAAAACACTTACCAAAATATTTAAAAAAGAAGAAGAATATAGATCCTTCTATAAAGAGACTCTTAGTGTAGGATTCGGTTTGTACTCCATATAGGCACCTTTTCGAGTCGCCTGCATTATTTGATAAAATTACTCCCAAAAAAAAAAAGGAGTAACCCCCTCTCACCATTAGGAAGCAGATATAAGACTTTAAGAAGGATAACTTTTATTTAATGTTTGAGGAGACTGTGGTAATAATAGGTTAAAAACTTGTTGATTCAAAAATTTGGTGGTGTGAACGACTAAGCTGGCCACCGTGACATTTATGAGAGATGGAATGAACGGAAATTAGAGCCACTTGTATTCATACCCTTAATAATGATATCTCATTTTGAAAATAAAGCCGTGGAACGCTCTTTCATCTCAAAGTTTGCCTCAAATTTTGATTTAAAACCCCAAAAGTACAGTGAGCAACAAACCAGAAGAAAAGAGAAACAAGAAGAGAAACAAAGAGGGGGATAGAGAGATAGAGGAAGAGAAACAAAGAGGGGGATAGAGAGATAGAGGAAGAGAAAAACACAGAAATACGAAGAGAGCAGGAATAGACAGAGACAGACAGAGATGAGGAGAAGGAAGAGAGAGAAACATGGAGAGAGAGAGAGAGAGAGAGAGAGAGAGAGAGAGAGAGAGAGAGAGAGAGAGAGAGAGAGAGAGAGAGGGAGGGAGAGAGAGAGGGGGGGAGAGAGGGAGAGAGGGAGGGAGGGAGAGAGAGAGAGGGGGGGAGAGAATAATACACATCTGAAAGCTTACACATAAAGCATTCTCCAACCACCACAAAAAAAGAGAAAATCGGGTCACTGCCAATTTGTCAATTATCGATACCAAACCAACAAGCATCGCGGACAAACCTGGATCGGGTTTAGAGGTTTGGTTGTTTGTTGTTTTGTTTTGTTTTTTGTATTTTTGTTTTGTTTTGTTTTGGGGGGGGGGTGTTTTAAATCTGGAGAACAGCCGATTACGAATCCGCGGACAAACCTGGATCTCCCGTGTGTGATCCGCTGTCCCGCGGGTTTATTAAGTGCTTGTCTCGGTAAAGCGAGGTGGACATAACTGTGTCTGTTGATGTGGATATTTTATTTGTCGGCTTTTCTCTTCCCTTATGTTGTAATTGCCATTGAGTTCTTCTCGTCGACTTGTTGAGTTGTTGCTTTGTGGTGCCGATGTGGTTAGCTAGCAATGTTGCTTCTCGGGAGGTTTTCTTGGGCAATCGACTGCATTGTACTTGAAGCATAACGTTGTACTTCACGATTAATAAAAATATAAAAGGAAGGTAAACGTTCTTTATTACACGTGTGGGTTTTTGGGTTTTGCTGAATTTTTATTTTACTTTCGATTCTTTTCTACAGTGTCACGTGTTCTGTATTACAAGGAGTGAAATGTTTAAGAAATAATAAATGATACTCATGGAGTTGCTTCAATTAACATTTCGTTTTACTTTCCCAGAGTGAAGCTGACAAGTTGAAAATGTCAGCCGAAGCCAATGCACACGAGGTAAAGGACCTAACACTTGGTAATCGTTTAGAAGAACCAAATGTCGTCTCTGGAGCCTCCAGCGCGATTAGCGGCCAAGAGGGAAGGAGAGGAGATTATACCAAAAGCAAAAGCGAAAGCGACCAATTGTCCGCCATGTTGGAAAAACTTCAAAAACAAGCAGACGGCATGAGCTCTCCCGGTATGTGCAGCAGTGGTCGAACCTCCAGACAAGAGAGTTCCCTTCGCGACCGCTCGTTATTGGCTGGCTCGGCGAAGATCATAAGGAGGTACAACCGGAGCGATGAAGAGCTCCTGTCTGAGTTTCTCTCACGAAAATCTCTCGACGATGTGGACAGGAACGATCTCACACCTCTTATTTTCGCTGCTTTACAAGGAAAGTTAAAAATGGTGGAGACTTTGCTGGAGAAAGGTGCTGACATGAACGCAAAGAATGGATCGGGTACCACAGCGCTTATAGCAGCAGCCGCCTCTGAGAACGTTGAGGTGATGAAAGTTCTGCTGAACAACAAGGCGAAAGTGAATGCAATTGACGGTAGAGGGAACAGCGCACTAATGATTGGAATACTTACGGGGAACGAAGCGGTTGTTGGGTTACTGTTGGATCATGAAGCAGATCCTCACATCGTGAACGTCAGTGGGCAGACAACCCTGATGCTCGCCGCCTACAAGGGTTCGAATACTATCGTGGAACTTCTCATCCAGAAAGGAGTTCGAGTCAACACGAAGGACAACAAAGGCTGGACGCCGCTCATGTTCTGTGCGCAGTACAATGAGTTCGAAACCGTGGCCATTCTGTTGCGAAACAAAGCGGAAGTAAACGCCACCGATTTATCCGGGGCGACGGCGCTCCACATCAGCGCAGGAAACGGACAGCTGGAGACAGTAGAGCTGTTGCTGGCTTCTGGGGCTCTCATTGACTTTATAGACAAAAAAGGAAGCAGCGCTCTGATGCAGGCGTGCGCCGGGGGACACACAGAGTGCGTGAGTAAACTGATAACCGCCGGTGCCTCTGTGAACATTCAGGACGGCACGGGCTCCACAGCGTTACATCTGGCCGCTTCTGAAGGGTACAAGGATGTGGTGGATGTTCTGATCAACGCTAAAGCCGATCTCAACGCCCTCGATGACGATGGGGATACAGCCATGACCTGTGCGTGCATGAACAGCCACTCCGCCGTGGTGGAAGCGCTGCTGGCTGCAGGGGCGGACGATCTGTTGATAAACTTCAAGCGTGACACAGCCCTGTCCATTGCTGTAGTCAGGAACCTCGAGGCTGTAGTAAAGCAGTTACTGTCTCGTAAAGGGCATGGCGATCCTTACCCTTTAATTAACTTTAAAGGAGAAAGAGGTTCCACTGTTTTGGAGCACGCTGCTTTGTACGGTAACACTGAGGTTGTGAAGTCTCTTCTCCAGGCTGGTGCTAGTGTAAACATTCCCCGAAGTATCGGCAACACGCCGCTTATGAAAGGTGTCGGCGGCGGTATGCTCAGCGTTGTTGAGATTCTTCTCCAAAACGGCGCTAATGTCAACACCCCCGACGACCGAGGGAACACTGCCGTGATGAAAGCTTGTCTGTTTGGCTTTGCATCCATCACACGGTCCCTTCTGGCAGCCGGGGCGTCCGTGCAATCCTCAAACGACCACGGCCGGACGCCCTTGCTCTTCGCAGCCTGCGGAGGTTACGAAGATCTCGTGGAACTACTCCAACAAAAAGGGGCAGCTCTTGACGTCACAGATAGGGACGGCTGGAATGCGCTGCTCGTCGCCTCGCAAAACGGTCACCAAGAAGTCGTCAACTTCCTACTGAAACAAAAAGTTGCTGTTGATAATCTAATGAACTACGGTCGCACTGCCTTGGCGTTCGCCTCCGAGAGTGGTCACGAAAATATCGTTTCCAGTTTGATCGAGAGCGGCGCGGGGATCGATAAAGCGGATGTTTATGGGAACACCCCACTGACCCTCGCTGCCTTCAGAGGTCACTTTCGGGTAGTTCATCTTCTCCTCCAACACGGGGTGGACGCAAACAAGGCCAACAGTGACGGACAGACGGCCTTGTGTATCAGCGCGCATGAAAACCACCGGCAGATCGTAGACATGCTGTTGAGCTCAGGGGCCGACGTGGATAAGGCTGACCGGAAAGGCTACACCCCTCTGATGGCTGCCGTGGTCAACTATCACGTGATGATGGTAGAGCTGTTGGTGGACGCTGGTGCTGATCTGGACCTGAAGGACAGGAAAGGGCGTACGGCCATCATGATGGCGGCGAATAAAGGTCTGTTGACGGCAATAATGACGATGGAAATAGATGAAAAATTATTATAAATTCGAACACGTTACATAAATTCAAAATCGATTTATATGAGTTATTATAACATGGCTGAACATGCTTGTCAGTGTATGACAGAAGAAAACGCTTGGTTCTTTCGGCCCTGAGGGGGGACTAAGTTTGACTCTTTTGGGATGTAGTGGACAGATATTATGCCCGATCAGCAGCAGAACAAAGAGAATGGCGGCCGTACGCACATTTCGAAGCAACAAACACAAATTAAAAACACGAATTTCTTTCTGTCACGGTATACATGCTGTTGTCTGTCTTTTCAAGTTCCAGATAAAGAAAATGAAACAGAAAAAAAATCTATATTGTAGTGAATATCGAAGTTAGGCTTTTTTTCTATTTAGGTCTACCCGAAAACAGCGAGTTTTACAACGTGCAAAATGGGCGTCCTCAATAAGTTAAAATCAGGCAAATATGTGGATTGTGTAACACTCATGATAGTGATACCACTGTTTTCTGGGTGTTTAAAATGAATTTAATATTTCTGTTTCTGAAAAAAACCACCAACCAGATAGACAGGGTTTATAATGATAATAATAATGATAATGCTAGTATGTTCCAAGAAAGTGGTACTGCATGAATGCGTCTGGTTTGTTTTGC